CGTGCCGCCCATTGTCCTTTCTCTGTCTCTTGTACATCTGTCTCTCCACACGCCTGCTCTCTCTGCATCTCCCTCTCTCTGTCTCCTGCCATCTCCCCCCGTGTATTTTTCCCTTTTTTTGGCCCTGTCACTCTCGGTAGCTCTCTGCCTGTCCCTCTGTCAGCATCTGTTGTTCTGTCAGTCTCCACCCAATTTGTCTGCGTGTCTGTGTCTCCTTGCACGTGCCTTTCCATCTCCTTGGATCTCTGTCCCCACACCCCAGAGTGCTCCTCCACAGCACACTGTCTACCCCCTTTCGTCAGTGTTTTTGGTGCCTGCCCCTGTCCTGAGCTCTCGCTCGGTCTCCTCACCTTTGGGTGCACATCCCTCCTGGAAGGTCTGTCTGCCCCCCTTCCTGTCCCTCTCTGCCCTCAGTTGGCCACCTTGCCCTGACACCCTAATTCTGCCTGTGTTTGTTGCCCTCTTGACACCCCTGTGTGTCATCTTCTGTGTCCACCTCCCTCTCCCCCTGTCCCTATTTCCCTGTCTCTCCTGAGATGCCCTTTGATTGGTCATCCTTGGTCTGTCTCTGGCCCTGTCCATGTCCGTGTCTCCTCCTCTCCCTTTCTGGCTGTTTTCTCTTCAGCACTCCAATGACACACACTCTCTGTGCCCGCCTCTTGCCCTCTCCCTCTTCCCCTGAGTGTCTCTTTCTCTCCCTTTTATAGTTCATCTCCGTTTTCTTTGGAATCTGACCATTTCCCTGCCTGCACACCTGACCATTTGATCTATGTACATGTTCCTTGTTGGCTGGCTCCCCCTCTCCCCCCTGGCCTGATGTATTTCTCCAGGTCTCCTGCTGTCCCCTTGTCTCCAGCCCATCTCTGATCATCCATGCTGCCTTGGGGTAGCTCTGCTCCTCTCTCTTTCTGCTGCTCATGTCCCTTTTGTATGTCCTTCTGTTTTATGTCCCTCCTGTGTCCTCCTCGGTGTCCTTTCTGACATTTCTCTGGTTTTTGTGCTCTCTCCCATCAGTCCTTTCTCAGTTTTGGCAGCTGCCTGTGCCCCTCTGTCTCCCTCTCTCACCTGCTCTCTTGGCAGTGCAGTTGCTCCATCTCCTTCTTTCTCTGACTCTCCCGTGTTTTGACATCTCTGTCTGTTCTCCCTCTCACTGCCTGTCTCTGGTTTTGTCCCTCTCACTCATTTTTGTTGGGGTCTGCTACTCCCTTTTATTGCCCCTTTATAAGCTCCCTCTCTCCCATCTTGGCTCCTCTCTCCACTCATGTTGCTCCCTCTCTGCGCTCTGCATCCCTCCCTCTCACTCTGTTCTCCATCTGCCTCTTGCTCTGCTCCCCCTTTTCTCTTGTGATCGTATTCTCTCTGTGTCAGCCTGTTTCTATCTCTTGGTGTTGCCCCCCCCCCCCCCCCCCCCCC